ACAGCGCTGGGGTTCATCTGYGTCCACTGCAGGCTGTACGAGTACACGCGGGGCCGGTTCTGCCACAGYGGGTTGTACGTGTCGTAGTAGAACTCGGGGGCGTAGGCCTTTCCTGGGAAAAACGGGAAATGGGATCAGGGAATGCAGAAAACATGGAAGCACCAGCCAAGCAAAAACTGCCCCATTCCCTCGGGAAAACTGGGAAATAACCGGCAAATAGAAAAGAAAAGAACCGTGAAAAATTCCCAGGATCCAAGTGCTAAGATCCAACTGATCATTCGCAGGATCCAAGGTTTGAGATCCCAGGATCGAAGGGTTGAGATCCAAACCCTCATTCCTGGATCCATGCGTTGAGATCCAAACCCTCATTCCCAGGATCCAAGGGATGAGATCCAAATGGAGCCATTCCCTCATTCCAGCATCCAAGGTTTGAGATCCAACCCCTCATTCCAGGACCCAAGGGTTGGGATCCATCTGGAGTCACTCACTCATTCCCAAAATTCAAGGGTTGAAATCCAACCCCTCATTCCCCGATCCAACAGCTGAGATCCAACTGCAGCCATTCCCTCATTCCCATGATCCAAAGGATGAGATCCAAATGGAGCAACCTCTCATTCCCAGGATCCARCAGTTGAGATCCAACCCCTCATTCCCAGATCCAAGGGCTGAGATCCAACTGATCATTCCCAGGGTCCAAGGGTTGAGATCCAACCCTTCATTCCCARGMCCCAAGGGTTGGGATCCATCTGGAGTCACTCACTCATTCCCAAAATTCAATGGTTGAGATCCAATCCATCATTCCAGGATCCCGCTGCAATTTGGATTTGGATCCAGCTGCAGCCATTCTCTCATTCCCAGATCCAAGAGATGAGATCCAACTGCAGCCATTCCATCATTCCAGTGATTCAAGGACTGAAATCCAGCCCCTCATTCCTGGGATTCAAGGGCTGAGGTCCAACTCCAGCCATTCCCTCATTCCCGGGATCCAAGGGATGAGATCCAGCCCATCATTCCCGGGATCCAAGGGATGAGATCCAGCCCATCATTCCCAGGACCAAAGGGTTGGGATCCATCTGGAGTCACTCACTTATTCCCAAAATTCAAAGGTTGAAATCCAACCCATCATTCCCAAAATTCAAGGGTTGAGATCCAGCCCACCATTCCCAGGATCCAGGGGTTTGGATCCAGCCACTCATTCCTGGATCCAAGGGCTGAGATCCAACTGCAGCCATTCTCTCATTCCCAAGATCCAAAGGATGAGATCCAAATGGAGCCACTCCCTTATTCCCAGGATCCAGGGTTAAGGTCCAACTGCAATTCCCTCCCTTATTCCTGGAATCCAAGGGTTGAGATCCAACTGCAACCATTCCCTCGTTCAAGGGATCCAAGGAATGAGATCCAAATGGAGCAACCTCTCATTCCCAAGATCCAGGAGTTGAGATCTAATCCCTCATTCCCAGATCCAAGGGCTGAGATCAGGTCCTTATTCCCAGGATCCAGGGGTTAAGGTCCAACTACAATTACCCCCCTTATTCCTGGAATCCAAGGCTGAGATCCAACTGCAGCCATTCCCTCCTTCCCAGGATCCAAAGGATGAGATCCAACTGCAGCCATTCCGTCATTCCGGGATTCAATGGCCGAGACCCAAATGGAGCAACCTCTCATTCCCAGGATCCAGGAGTTGAGATCAGCCCCTCATTCCCAGATCCAAAGGCTGAGATCCAACTGCAATTCCCCCCCTCAGCCAATGTTTGGAGTTTTGTCCAATATTTTCTTCCAGAACTGCCTTTTAGGGTTCTTTTCCTCATCCATATTTTTTAAGGATTCATGGCCGTGCTTTGCCTTTATCCTTAACGCCCTCTTCCAGGTGT